TAACTAAATTAATTGGCAAGTTATCTAATTATATATTACAAAAATTAAAAAATTTTAGACTTTTCACATAGTTTTCATTCTTCTGCTTCAGAATTAAAATCCTATTAGATGAAATTTTTACTTCATATATTTTATACAAATGCTATTTTTTATACCCATCTACTTGTTATTAATATTATTATAACAGCCGGGTGTGGTGACTTAGTAAAGTTGGTAAGTTGTCGCACCCACAAGCAGTAGGACAAGAGTTCAAATCCCACTGGTGACGAAATTCGAAATATACAGAATGTGTTACAGCAGACTGTGTGTAATCTGATGGATCATCAGATCTGTAGCTTTGGTCATACCAGCTTGTACTGGAAGAATGTAGAACTTTAGTATGACGCAAGAGTTATATGAAATTCAAGTAAAGCATTTGTGTAAATCCAGGGCTGGGGCACACAAAATCCTACTTGGCAAGTCCCGATTAGAGAGGTAGCACAAATCTTCAACGGTGCTACATAAAGGATTATCATCAAAGATCTGAAAACTGGATAGGACCGAGGTGTTCGGCAAGGCACTATACCAATCAAGCTGTCAGTGTATTCTGAGGAAGAGTCCGCCCTTCCAGGCTATCTGAATTGGGAGTTTGGAGACTGATAAAATGGTAGATGATCCATAAAGTGGGTGCTGAGGATTGGGTGAACTCTACAAGAGCAGTAGTAGGTAATGGTAGTGGCTTCAGCTCGCAAGTACTCATTCTTAGACTTGGTGTAAGTTACCAAAAGTCTAGGTTAGCTGAATTGTGAGTATGGAAAGCTCTAGCAACGATGCCTCAAGGATAACTTAGTCCTAAGGCTATAGTACACATCTGAAACTCTTGACTGACAAATGTAACAGAGTGTTCTGGTGATACAAGAGGGCAGTATATATTACAGAGGGATTAAATAGATAATCCTCTAGTTGGATTATAGGTATAGCAACTAGTGTAGAACCTATTGTATATAGTTATCTATACGTGGACTACTTAAATAGATGCTCAAAAGGCGCATGTATGGCTAGTTGTACTCTCTAATGTAATTGGGGTTTCATTGTGAACTTCCTACCCATTATACTTGAATAAAAACCCCTATGCCAAAGAGGCTAGTTAATATAAAAAAATATATATATATTATTATAACAGCTCTCATTTTTATTAAATAACCTGTCTATTTGACCATTTATTATACTATCTTATAGATAATTCACTACAACATACTTTTATTATAACTGCATATAATACTACTCCAAACATTATAACCAACTTATATTATCAAATCAAACAATTAAACTGCATGACTATAATAGTATACCAGATATACTTTTAGTTTTTTAACTTTATCAGATCTAGTATTAAATGAAATTATTATCTCTGTTGCAAATTTATCAACTCAAAAAATAGCTACAACACTTGTTATAAAATTTTTACTTCACTTCAATCAACAAATTTATCATAAAATATAGATGTTTTACTGTATTTCAAGAATAATAACCTATTCTTCTATTAATAATTTACCTTCTAATCCTACTTTATAACTATATTAACCCTTTTTTTTACTACTATTAGCTTTAAGATAAATTCTTAGTACATATATTAGATTAAATACAAAACTAATAGTTCTTATATTATTATTAATATTCAAATCTAAATAAGCCTTATTGTAAATCTGCAAAATAACGATCATGGGCGTTATTTCAAAAATTGAATCCTTCAAAAATAGTATACCTAGTTTCAAAATAACGCCCATGCACGTTCTGAAATAGCACACGTCTTATATACCAAAATAGACTATTAATCCTACACATAAGCAAATATATGATACAGCTCAGAACATTAGCCTTTTTTCGAAATAACGCACATAGATGTGCCTGAAATAATGCACAGATATTCAAAATAACACGCAGATGTGTGTTATTTCGTGGATTTACGGTAGCTACTTTAGTTGATTTATATTGCAAATAAAATAGTCTGAGCTTCTATTCTTTTTATAGTAAATTAGTACTTTATATATAGATCTCAATTAAATATTTAATAAAAATAAAGGCATTGTCTATTATTAATATTAAAAAAAATTGAAGAGTTATTGTGTGAATTATCTGTCTATTTTTAATGATTTTACCTACCTTTATTGGAATTAATTTAATTTAAAAAACAATCTTTATTAAAAACTAAAAATAAATTTACTTAGCATCAAATTTAATTATAATATACTTTTTAAATTTTACTATATATAAGTATTCTCTTACTATGGCCTCACCTTTGAAGATTAAAAAAAAAAAAAAAAAGTATTCTCTTACTATAGGTATATATTATTTTAAACTATATATAGAAACCTTTATAATAAAAAATATAGTAAGCTAAAAATTTTAAATTTGCAATTTTATAAAATTTGGAAGCTGATTGTTCTAATTTTTTAAAAAATTAAAAAAAAAATTTTAGCTTATTGTACTCTTTTGCTATAAGGGTCTCTATATTTTATTTTTAGAGTTTTAATTATTTAAATAATATCTATAAGTATTATTATACAAAAATATAATAATAGGTGTAGATTGCAGATAACTTCTATAACTTTTGAGTTAACAAGAGCTCTGTCTGAGTTTCTAGTTTTAATATCTTATAAATATAAAATTCAAATAATGTAATTTCTTTATTTAATTTGTAAAGTAGTTTAATTGAAATTTAATAAAAATAAATAAAGGCATGGCCTCACCTTTGAAGATTAAAAAAATACAGTAATAATATTTTATAATATTAAAAAATTTTATTATTTGGTATGGGTGCATTGTTTGCACCCATAAGATTCAGTAAAACATGAAATTAAAATAAACTAACAATGTATTAATTTAGAATAAAAGTTAGCACTAATGTAGAATTAGGTTAGATAAATATTAGTTATACCTGAAATTTTGCAAGAAGTTATTTTTATTAGAATACAAAAGGTGTTTTATAAGCAAAATTATAGATTACAAACAACTTTTTCAAAATATTGCAATTCATATTAAACCTAATCTTATGATCTGATTAGTCAATCAGGTGGGTGCATTACAATGTATGTGTGTAAATTATAACCCAATATTAAAAATAAAAAAACTTACCATCAAGATCATATAAAAAATAATCTATATACACTCTATCCTTAATTTTATATACTTATTATTCAGATCTAAAAAAAGCTTTTAAAAATTTTTTATAAAACTTTTTTTGAATCCTGAATTATATATCATGTCACTGCCATTTTTTTGTGCCATGACTAAACTATCTCTTTGGGACAACTATAAGTACTATACATTGTAACTGTCAAATTTTCCCTTTATAATGTGTTACTATCTAACATAACACAGTATTCTATTTATTTTATTTTATTATTTTTATTTTTTTTCATTATTTTCATTATTTTTATTATCGTAAAAATGGGAATGATCATTAAAATCGGAATGAAAGGAATTATCAAGTAAATAGTTACAAAATTCATTATAAGAAAAATAGAGTAGAAAAAAAGATAGTTAGTATCAATAAGAAAAATAAGTATCAATTTTTAGTTTGAAAAATAATGTATATAAGTAGCGATATTTACCTTCAATAAAGAACAACTCTGGAGAGTTCAAAGATCCAAGTTAAAGAAATTAGAGTATTTAACTTGTGATTTACTTTTATATGTGAAACTCTTGAGTTCGAAATACTTGAAACAACTTTGAATTCAACCTTGAAAAGATTTTGCTCTAATAATTCTTCCCCAATAAGTAAAATCTGTAATAACGATTGAATTCGTGACCAAACCCCGTGATTCTGAATAAAGGGATTCGTGACGTAATCAAGAGCTCTAATCCGACACTATTAATAAGAATCCAATTAACCCTGGTTACTCGGACCAAGTCTTTCCACTCCTCGATCGTTGCCTTACCAATATTAAGGTTTGGTTGTATTAGTTGTGGTGTTCTGGTTAGAGTAGTTTAAGTTAGTTTTAGTAGTGTATAGTGCATTATCCAGAACCGGTGCATCTTTTCCCCTTTCACAACGTATGTATTATCGTACGGGTCTTATTTAACAATCCGTCTTTCACATCAATAAAAGTTTAACGTTGTCGTTATGAAGACTTTATTCAATAAGAATTTTTTAAAAAAGAGAGAATAAAACCAAATTAAGTAAAAGTAATAATCTTATCCAAAAATTTTAAAAAAGGCAAAACTTTAATAATGTAAAGACCCCGTTTAATAAACAAAAAAATAACATATGATTCCGTCTAATAAGAATAAATGGAATGAAAACTAAAGAATATAAACAACTTAGAGACGAACAAAGTATATATGGATTATAAAAATTTAAACTTGTATTAAGAGAAAACAATTTTTTATCCTTAGAAATATGTCAAATGAGAATTTTTTTTAAAAAAAAGATCTAATAATGTGTAATTCTGTTTACTAAGAATTATGAACTAGAGAAGATTTAATTATATATGACTTAACCTAACAAAATTTAAGTAAAAACTTAATAACGTGCAACTTTGTCCAACAAGAATTTCAGAGTAAAATCTAATAACGTGTAATTCTGTCAAGTAAGAATTATAAAGAAAGCGATAAGAATTTTTTTTAAAAAAAAACAAAATCTAAAATGTGCAATTCTGTTTAATAAGAATTCGACTCATCTTCATTCAATATAGTTTTAAAGATTAATTAATTATATTATGATCAATACAAGACAATTTTAAAGAAAACAAAAACAAACTGATGTCATCACCATCCAATGACAGTTTAAAAAGACCAAATGCTGCGACGATAATTTTAAAAATGTGAGACAAATCAATTTAATAATAATAGATCGAAAACGTTCAGATTTGATAAATATGAAAATGTTTTTAGTTTTTTTTTAAACACGTGCTGTAAATGAGTGAAAAAAGCACGGGTTGTTGCATAAAACTCGTGCAATAAATAAGATTTAATCGATTTTATCTTTTGGTAGAGGTGTAAGCGAATTTTAAATTCCCCTAGTATTGCTGGTATCGCTGTTGTTGAGTAACAGCTAATATTTGATTTAATTGTGAAGGATCTATTGAAATCATTTGGGTATTTTGTGCGCCATCGCTTAATGGTAATGTAGATGTATTTCCTGCAATTAGAATAACTTGCTGTTGTGGAACTGTAGAAGTTGGCATTGTAAAAGGTGCTGTAGAAGTTGGCATTGTAAAAGGTGCTGTAGATGCTGTATATGTTGGTGCTGTAGGTGCTGTATATGTTGGTGCTGTAAATGTTGGTGCTGTATACGCTGGAGGTGAAAATACCGTATTGAATTTCATTTTTTGAGTTATTGCCGGCGAGCTTAACTCAAGAATTACATACTATGAAAAAAATAATAACGATATCAGATTTTACACTTTTATAAACCAGAAGTATTCTTATTTGCGAAATGCTTTATCATTACACCTTATATATAAAGAGTAAAAACTTACATAATACTTTTTTCTATACCCTTCCATGACATAACTATCAGTAAATTCTAGTTTCCAAAAGATATGATTCCTGTTATCAATACCGTTTACTCGTTCCATCACCTTTTCAACTGCCTTCATTTTCTATAAACAATACAAAAAAAAGTTTTATCATTTTAATATATCAATATAAGAAAAAGAACACTTTAAACTACTTGCAGTTTTCTGGTTTTCAATGCTAACTACCAAATGAACGCAACTTGCAGTAAGATATGAGCACGACAAAGTTATCAAGCAAATATACAGCCCACCAAAAAAAAAAAATCCTATGGGTAATAATGTTGCAAGAACGTAAAGGGATATATAAAGACTTTTTTTTACTGCACGACCATTTATTGCCGTATTAAACTCCCTGATCCTAGTATCAAATAATTCACGTGAAATCTAAAAAATAATGAATGGATTAGGTAAAATCAAATCAATGTTAGACTGATTATTTTAACATACATATTCTTGGATATCAGGAGAGAATTGCGCCTTAACTACTCCTTCCTTGACAATATATTCTTTTTTTATCAAATTCGACATTTTGTAGAAAGAGACGAATTTCCAAAGTTCAGCTACAATTCATTATTAATATGATGACATAATTTCATGTTACATCGTTTACATCGATGCAATAAATTTAATCACATAATTTAATTTCGCCTGACAATAGTATACAATGTTTATATTCATAGAAAATTCTAATATCAACTACGTATCATAATATGCTTGAATTTAATCTTTAAGTCTTATGCAAATGTTAACTCCATTAAGATTGAATCGTGTAATTTTGATTTGTTGGTTTTTTATGTTTTTGTGTATTACCCTGCCTTGCCCAATTTATTCAAAAAGGAAATTGGGAGTATTACAGAATTATGTATTGTATAAACTAGCATGTAAGTAATGTATGCCATTGTTGGTATAGGTGTGAACTAAGAAAATTTATGTATGATCAGCAGAACTTACAAAATTTATCTTTATAAGTTTTCCTTTTTAATGGTTAGGGTGATTGCCCTTTTTTTCATGTTAGGGTTAATATAGTCTGTAAAGGAAATCTCTTAAAGAATTTCTTTTACGAACCATACATACCACCTTAATTTCTACTATACATTATAAACTACACATTACATATACATTACATATTTGCTATATGCTCCGCTTTGACTCGACTTGCATCGACTTTTACACCTTGAATTGACTCTTAGCCGATCACATGAGCATATATTTTATGTACTGCGTTATAACCTGAATTTAGTCAAGATGCAAGCATATTGATTGTGGTAGCTGACTCTGAAATTGAATTTAAAAATCCTATTCAATCAGGTACATTAATCCGAATTTTAGCATCAGCTACCACATTTATCGACTTAAACCAGTGACTTTACAGTTAAAATAATTAGCGACTTAAAACCTTGAGTCGAGTCATTAACATTAGTGATGTTATCCTGCTTACACGAACTCGGTTCGACCCTGTTTGAAGCCAGAACCAAATGAAACTCGAGTTTTTGCATGCACATTATCGTATTTAAGCTCATAATGAGTTTGAAATCGATTAAATTAGCATAATGATTGATTTGTAATAACGCTACTTTAGATTATTAATTATTATCTTTACGGCATTATTTTCACATTAATATCACGAAATTTAGTTTTTTGTTTTTAATTTTAATTAAAAGTTAATTTACTGTGGCATGATATGATGAGAATTAGTCTTTTTGTTTATTTTTATTTATTTTTTTTTTGTACATTAGTGATTACCAAGAAATTTAGAAAATATCGTAATGAAGAATTGAACACTGCTTTCATTGTTCATGAAGAATGTCTTACGACTATTATGGAGAATTATAATCCCTATGACTTCTGGAAAACACGATTTGTTGATGTACGTTATTCTGGTTCTCGAGAATGACACGCGACTACTTGATTGTACAAGCAAAAAGCGTACCGAGCGAATAAATATTTAACAATCCAATACGTAATCGTTTATCTGAAAAGAGCAGTCAGGGATTTTCAAATCCATGTAACACAAATCATTTCCTTTTTTGCAAAAAATCATGTTTAGAAAGTTCCTATGAGGCTAAATTTGCACCAATCATCGTTTGCTTGGTTATTTGGTGCACAACTGCCCAACAGATCCTTGACCTTCGCAAGATTATTTTGTACAAGCAAAAAGCGTACCGAGCGAATAAATATTTAACAATCCAATACGTAATCGTTTATCTGAAAAGAGCAGT